ACTTGTGGTACAGTAATAGAGTTCACAATTCAAACCTTGGTATCCATCTTTACATTTACATACATTTGGTTCAGAACAGTTACCCATTCCAGAACAAACACTTGGTTTCAATCTAGAAATACCATCACAATCAAAGATGTTACATTCATCTCCATAGTAGGATTGAGAACAAACACAGGTATCTGGAGCAACACATGAACCACTTCCTGAACAAACCTTCGAATCATTGAATTCAATGCCATAACAGAGAGGAGTATTACAAATTTCACCACCATATTGAATCGTGAATTTTACATTTTCATCAGCATTGGTTTCAAAACAAATATCACCTACAGGTCCGTAAGTAATAAGTTTACCATTATTTTGAAGAACAAATCTATATGGATGACCAATTTGACTATTTGCACATTCTTGATTGAGGGTAACATTATCACCAAGAGAAAGAATACCCAAATCAGAAATTAGTAAAGCCAGTGAATCAGAACTATTTGTCTTGAATTCATAAACAATAGAACCAGTAAGAGTATTTTCAACTCTTAAGGAATCAGTAGTGATGAAAGCTCTATAATTTCCATTATTGGAAACAATTGAAGTATTCATTGAGAGAACAAGATTGTTTTCCAATGATGAAATAATAGTATTGTTCTCAGAAGCATCAATGCAGGTACATGTGTCAATTGCAGAACAAATACCTCTTCTTGAACAAACAGATGAATCAGTGTTTGGTAGTCCTTGACAGGTGAACGTCAAACATTGATCTCCAGTGTATCCAGCAGTGCAATTACAAGTATTTGGTGAAACACATGAACCGTGACGTCCACAGACTTCACTAGAGTTAAAGGCTATACCATAACAATCGTGGTTTTCACAATTATTGCCATAGTAACCATTTTGGCATTTACAATTATTTGGAGCCACACATGATCCCATTCCAGAGCAAACATTTGATTCATTCTTGTGAATTCCGTCACATTCAAAATGTTCACACTCATTTCCGTAATATCCATTCAAGCATGAACAATTGTTTGGAGCAGAACATGATCCAAATGAAGAACAAACTGTCGAAGCTTTCAAAATCTTTCCATAACAATCATAATTTTCACAATTTTCACCATAATATCCATTTTGACATTGGCACTTATTTGGTTGAGAACATGAACCTTTTCCAGAACAAACTGAGGCATCTGAGAAGACAACTCCTGAACATTTGTGATATTGACATTCAGCACCATAGTAACCTTCTTGGCATTCACAAGTGTTTGGAGCAACACAAGAACCAAATCCTGAACAAACATTTGTATCATTTGGAAGTTTAGAATAACAAACTTGAGCATTACATTTTTCTCCACCATAGTATTGTGTAATATTTACACTTTCACCAGTACTTTCGAAACATTTAATACCACTAGCAGAGTACAAAACCAAAGAACCATCATCAACCAATTGTAATCTGAAAGGATGATCAAAGATATTGCACTTTGTGTTATCATTCAAAGTGAATGAGGCTCCCTTAGATTCGTAGGTACGATTACCATAGACAGTAATGACACCTTGAGTTGAAATTTCCAATGTTTGATTAATCAAGGAAGTTCTCCATTGTGAAACAATTCTTCCACTAACATGTTCAACTCTAAGGAATTCATAACCGAAGGATAATGCGTATTTTCCATTAGCTGAGGTGAGAGTGCTAATACCTTCCTCAATAGCAACATTGGATTTAGCAGAACTCATAAATGTACTGTTTTCTGTAAAGTCTTTACAAGAACAAGTATTAATTGAGGAACATATACCACTTCCAGAACAAACCTCAGAGTCAATATTTTGAACACCAAAGCATTCATAAGCTTGACAAGCATTTCCAGAGTATCCGTTATTACATTGACAATTGTCAGGAGAAGTACATTTACCAAAACCGCTACAAGCATCAGTAGAATTGAAAACTTGATTGAAACACTTGTACCATTCACAATTATTTCCATAGTACCCCTTATCACAAGTACAAGAATCTGGTTTCAAACATGAGCCCTTTCTTTTACAAACTGAGGATTCATTGAATGCAACTCCATAACATTCAAAATAGTCACAATTTACACCACTATAGCCACTATTACATGAACATTTGTTTGCAGAATCACATGAACCGTTTCCAGAACAAGCTGATGTTTCGTTATATAATACTCCAAAACATTCATAGAGTTCACAATTTGCTCCACTATATCCTTGTTGACAAGTGCAGTTATTGAGAGAAACACAATCACCTCTTCCAGAGCATACTGATGAATTGACATTAATAATTCCAGAACAAGTGTGATATTGACATTTATCACCAGTAAATCCTTCAGCACAGTTACACTTATTGACTGCAATACAAGAACCACTTGAGCTACACACATACGGATTTGTAGCCATCAAACCATGGCAAACTGGAGCATCACAATTGATGCCTCTATAACCAGCATTGGCTGCATTAGAAATGGATGATTCACTATTGTTAGTAGACCAACAAAGTCCACTTTCTGAAATCAGTTCTAAACCAAAATCACTCAAGAATAGTCTGACTGTGCCAGATTCAGTACAACTGGCAATTGTATCTGTTTTTTGACTAGTTACAATAATGAGAGAGTTACCACTTAATCTTAAATTTGGTTGGGAATTGTATGACCATTGTTTTCTAACTTCCATAGTAGCTGTTTCAATAACAGAAACGTTATATTTACCAACAAGTAATTGTAAGATTTGGTTTGGTGATCTTAATGTGCTGTTTTCACTCAAAACAACATTGTCATTACTAGTAATAATTGATTCAGGAGTAATGTCCATACAAACACAAGAATCTGGTGCTGAACATACACCCCTACCTCCACAAACACTTGTGGTATTACTCTTATTGATTCCATTACAATAATAGGTATTACAATTGCTACCACTATATCCTTGTTGGCAGTTACATGTATCTGGAGAATTACATGAACCATGATTACTGCAAACTCCATTCGTATTATAAGGAATATTGAAGCAATTATAGCTTGAACATTGCTGACCATAATAATTATTATTACATTGACATTTTTCTGGAGATTGACATGCACCCCTACCTGAACAAACAGTAGCAGTATTCTTGAAACTAGTTCCAAAGCAATTATAATTTTCACATTGTAAGCCATAATATCCTTGTTGACATACACAGTTATCAGGACTAGAACAAGTACCCCTTGATGAACAAGCTGAAGAAGAAGAATGGGAAACACCATAACAGGAGAAAGTTTCACAATTAGGACCAGAATATCCAGTATTACAAGTGCAGTTATCTGGTGAAGTACATGATCCTTTTCCTGAACACACAGATGCATTAGTATATAACACTCCATTGCATGTGTATTTTTCGCAATCAATACCAGTGTATCCTGTATTACATATACAGTTGGCATTTTTACATGATCCATGTTTAGAACACACTCCTATATTATTTTCTCCTAGTGTATTACAATAGAAATTGGTACACTCTGCCCCACCTACTGAGCTAAGCAAATTTTGGTATAAGGCAGTACAAATATTACCTAGAGGATTTGCTATAACCAAGTTACCAGTATTGTCAATTACTAGATAGAATATAGATTTATCCTTGCAAGAATATACACTTGGAGCTGATGATGTAATTGCCACAGTTTCGTGATGTCTTAAAACGCTAGGATAATTATCCAAGTAGAGGTAACCATCATAGCTGTCTATTTGAAGTGCAATGCTTCCAAATTTTTCAAGAATTAATGCACCATTAGAGGTATATAATTTGTGTCTTCCATTAGGAGATATTAAGGAAATATCAGGTTTGCTAATTCTTCCTGGGTTAATTACGAATGAATTGGTTGAAGTAATCTTTGCTTTTGAACAGTCACATTCACCAGGAGAGACACAAAATCCATTTGAGCTACAAGAAGTATTTGAAGTGGACAATTCATTGTAACAATAATAGTCAGCACAAGTACTTCCACTATATCCAGCCTTACAAACACAGTTATCTGGTGAAGTACAAGAACCATGGCCGGAACACACAGATGCATCACTGTTTAAAACGCCATCACATGTGAACTTTTCGCAATTAGTTCCAAAATAACCACCGCTACAAGTACAAGCTCCTTCTGAACAATTACCTTGACCTGAACAGACACTACGACTGGTCTCCAGTACTCCATTACATTTAGTCAATTCACAATCTGTACCTGCATATACATTTAACACTGCAAGGTTGATTGCAGAACAAATATAAGATCCTTGATAAACAACCAAGTTTCCAGTATTTTCTAGTACAAGCGTATATTGAGAATTACGATCACAAGAATAAGAAGTAGAAGTAAGAGAGGTAATAGTTAACTGTTGATGAACATCGGACAACACAAGCAAATGATCAGAAACATATAAATATTTGTTGTCTGTAGCCTGCTTGAAAAGAAATTGTTGAATTGTTTCACCTTTTCGTTTCAAGTCAAAGGATTGAGTTCCTGATTGGAATTTGTATTTTTCATTTGTGGAAGTGAGTGCAAAATCTGAATACTGGTTACCATGGCTCATTTTGTAATGGTTTTGATTGACGCCACCTATTAGCTTTAGTGTGCTACATTCACATTTATCAATATCATAACATTGGCCATTACCTGAACATGAAAGAGGAGATGAGTAGAGAACTCCACTACAGTGGTAATCAGAACACCATGTGCCACTGTATCCTGTTTTACATGAACATGTATTCTTATCAATGCAAGAACCATGTCCTGAACACACACTAGTAGAGGTATTTAAAATGTTATTACAAGTGTACAAGTGACATTCAATACCTCCTAACCCAGTTGGACAAGTGCAACTTTCTGTACTGTCACATTTTCCAATACCACCACAGACAGTAGGGTCTGAATGGTTCTTTCCATTGCAGTACCAATTGTCACAAGTAGGTCCCGAATATCCATATTGACAATGACAAGTATCAGGAGCAAAACAGTAACCTTTGCGACTGCAAACAGAACTATCGCTGTTTGCCTTTCCGTGACAATAATAGGTTCCACAGGTGGTTCCAGTATAGTTTGCCTTACATGTACACACATTTGGAGTTAAGCATTCTCCATTTCCATTGCAGGCATTACCATTTGTATCGAGTGGACATTTTGTAATTTCACAATAATCTCCAAAATAGCCATCCTCACACTTGCAAGAATTTACGCCAATGCAAGTACCACGCGAACTACAAACGGATGAATTTGTTGGAGAAATTCCATTGCATGTAAATGTTTCACAGTTTGATCCATTAACCAAAGATTGTGTGGTACTTTCTGCAACGTAATAACTATCTTTTGTTGATGCATAACATTTACTTCCATATCTATCTCTTGTAACCAATTGACCATTATTTTCAAGATTCACCGTAAATGGATATCCATAACATGGATAAGTTTCCACCGTGTAAGGCATGTTTCCATAATCACCCTCAAAAGTAGGTTTTCCCAAAGCATCCAAAAAAAGTTTTGTTGAATAGTAATTATTATATATCGCCCAAATAACAGATCCTGTTTTGAGATTATAAACAAATGCGTTAGAATAATTTGGGAAACTGAATTTGTATTTTCCATTTGGTGAATACAAGGCAACACCAGAAGAATCAACTTGGAAAAAGGAATCTGACTTTGACAATGCGTAAGTTCGGGATTTAGTAGGTACATCAGCACATTTACATGTATCATAGCTAGTACAATAACCTTGTCCAGAACAGACTGCAGATAAATTGGTAGCACTTACTCCAAAACATGTGTAATTTTCACATGCAATTCCTGAATGACCAAAGTTGCATTGACAATTATTTGGAGAAACACATTTACCATTATAAGAACACGAAATTGGCAATGAACTGTCATAGCCGTTACAAGCAAACTTTTCACATCTAGTGCCACTATAACCAGCTGTACAATTACAAGTATTTGGAGCAATACATTGACCTCCAGATGAACAAACTGTTGAGGAATTCCAAGCAATACCAAAACATGCTTGTATTTCACAAGATTCTCCAATGTGACCATCTTTACATTGACATGTGTTTGGTTTAGTACATGAACCTAATCCAGAACAAACTGAACTATCGTTATGCTCGTATCCAAAACAGTCAAAATATTCACAAACATCTCCATAGTAACCTGGCAAACATGAACAATTGTTTGGTGATGTACATTGTCCATGTGCTGAACATACCGAACTATTGGTAGAGAAAATATTATTACACTCATACTTTTCACATGTAATTCCATAATATCCAGGTTGACATTGGCAATTATCAGGTTCAACACAAGTACCATGAGATGAGCAAACCAAAGATGAATCAAATGGAGTACCATAACAATTTGAAAGTTGGCAATTATTTCCAAAATAGGAGGAATTAAATGTACTGTTTGAACCAGTTGAGTAACAAACATGTCCAAGATGATAATTAACTAGCAAGAGATCACCATTATTAGTGAGAACAATTCTGAATGATCCTCCAGCACAGTCTATTTCTCCAAAGAGTTTAGAAGCACTTTCTTCAGTTGCATTTATGGAAATATAACCATAAACCAAAACAGTACCATTGGAATCAACTTCAATTCTTTGATTCCAAAGACCAGTTGACCAAGTTTTCATAATACTGTTTCCAGAAGTTATCATAATTTTGTTGTCTTGAATAATGAATTGATATTTTCCATTAAGGGAATACAATTCACTGCCGTTCATCATTACAGTAGAATTACCATCAAAATAGAATGAATTTCTCGATACAAAATCAAAACAGGTACACTTATTTGGAGAAATGCAAACACCCTTTCCAGAACAAACATTTTCATCGTTTCTATTCAAACCATCACATTCGAATTCAGTGCAATTATCTCCGTAATATCCTGTATTACATTGACAAGTATCAACTGCAATACATGAGGCAAAAGCTGGACAAGCATCAGGTGAGAATCTCGAAATACCGTTACATGCCCATTCTTGACAATTACTACCAGAATATCCTGGCTTACATTCACAGTTATCAACATGAGTACAATTACCAAAACCAGAACAAACCATACTCGAATTTGCACTCACTCCAAAACAAGTATCAAATTCACAAAAGTTTCCAGTGCGATTACTGAAACAATTACATTCATTCGGTCCAACACATTCACCATTTGAAGAACAATTTCCAGAGCAGGTAAATTGGTCACAATTCAATCCAGTCCATCCTTCCTTACATTCACATGTTGGTGGAGATTGAGTACCCTCATTGGTGAGACATTTGCCATTACCAGAACAAACTCGAGGAGAATTGAAAGTAATTCCAAAACAGCCTAAAACTGCACACTCCTCGCCAGCATAATATCCTTTACATTGACAGGTGTTTGGTGAAGTACAAGAGCCATTTCCTGAACAAACACTTGAATTATCGTGAGCAATACCAAAGCATTCAAACATTTCACAAATGTGTCCCCTGTATTCTGAATTACATTTACATGTATTTGGTGAAACACATTTACCTTTTCCAGAACAAACACTTGAATCGCTCTTATAAATCCCATAACAAGCAAACTTTTCACAAAGGTCTCCATAATAGGTTGAATTACATTGACACTTCTTTGGACCAACACAAATTCCCTGTTGATTACATTCAGATGTAAATTGAGCAGAATCAAAACATTCAAATTTTTCACAATTAGAACCAAAAGCTCCTTCAACACATGAACAAGTTTCAGGGGCTACACAATTTCCATTGCCACTACACACACTAGAATTTGAGGAAAGAATACCATTACACTTAAACTCATTACAAGCACCAAACAGATACTTGTAAGTGCTATTGACAGAGATGGTATAACAGAGCACATTGGCTGATGTGTAAACTGCCAAATCACCTGTATCTTGGAGAACGACAGTAAATTGGCCTCCTTCACAAGTTTGATCAGTAATTGGTGTTGATATGACATTGACTGTGGAATTTCCATCTTCTTCAATGGTAACATTTGAAAAAGTCAATTCTAATTGACCATTGGCAGATATTTTCAATTCTGCTTCGGAACTTTCAGAATTTACTTGATACAACAATTCATTGGTCTTGACATTCATAATGGAAAAGTTGCCTTGATTCATTGTTGCCTTATAAATTCCATAGGTTGAGGAGAGTGAACTGTTTGAAGAAAGAACAATTCCTCCTGTAGTGGCAATCTTGAAATTATCAGAACTAATCTCTCCAATACATTGACATTCATCAACGCCCACACAAATTCCCTTTCCAGAACACACCTTCTTGTTATTACTCAAAATACCATAGCATGTGAAATCTGAACAATTATCACCAGTGAACCCAGTATTGCATTGACACTTATTTGGACCAATACATTTACCATTCCCACTACAAACGTTGGAAGAAGAAGGATCGATATCATTACATGCAATATATTCACAATTTGTACCATTAGCTCCAGCAGCACAATGACATGTATCATTTGCGACACAAACACCATTACCAGAACAGACCAAAGAAATGTTTGCGCTTGGAATACCTGCACAGTAAATAGGTGGTTCTTCACTTTGGGTAGAATTGGATGTATCTATGAAGGTGGAATTATCAGTTGATGTTCCATTGTTTTCAGAACTAGTTGAATTATTATCAATCAAAGTACTGTTATCAACGAGTGTGCCATTTTCAACTTTTGTACTATTATCAGAGATAGTACTGTTATCAACAAGCGTGGAATTATCAGTCAAAGTACTATTGTCTGTTAAGGTACTGTTATTATCATCACTAGGTAAAGTTTCATTACCACCAGGTACAGTACTATTGTTATCAACTTGTGTACTATTATCATTTGTAAGAGTACTATTATCAAAAATAGTGGAATTTTCATTCAAGGTACTGTTATCACTAATGACTGTTTCATTACCACTTGGTAATGTACTGTTATTAATGAGTGTGACATTTTCAACTTGTGTGCTGTTATCAACAGTTGTTTCGTTAGCATCTGATACTGTACTATTATCAACTTGTGTACTATTATCAGAGATAGTACTGTTATCAACCAGAGTGGAATTATCAGTCAAAGTGCTATTATCTATCAAAGTACTATTATCAACTTGTGTACTATTATCATTTGTAAGAGTACTATTATCATAAATAGTGGTGTTTTCATTCAAGGTACTGTTATCACTAATGACTGTTTCATTACCGCTTGGTAATGTACTGTTATCAATTAAAGTACTGTTTTCAGCAAGAGTTGAATTTTCTCCTTTTGGCAAAGTTTCATTATCAAAGGAAGTAGTATTATCAACAGTTGTTTCATTACCACTTGGTAAAGTACTGTTATCAACGAGAGTGCCATTTTCAACTTTTGTGCTATTATCAGAGATAGTACTGTTATCAACCAGAGTGGAATTATCAATCAAACTACTATTGTCTGCTAAGGTACTGTTGTCTGCAAGCGTAGAATTATCCTCAGTTGGCAAAGTTTCATTATCAAAAGAAGTGCTATTTTCAGCAATTGTTTCATTAGGCATTTGATGCTGTACTATTATCTATCAAAGTACTGTTATCAATGAGTGTGCCATTTTCAACTTGTGTGCTGTTATCAATTAAAGTGCTGTTATCAACAAGAGTTGAATTATCTCCCTTTGACAAAGTTTCATTACCAAATGAAGTGCTGTTATCAACAGTTGTTTCGTTAGCATCTGATGCTGTATTATTGTCAATCAAAGTACTGTTATTTTCAACGAGTGTACTATTATCACCAGGTAAAGTCTCATTACCATCTGGTAATGTACTATTATCAGCCAAAGTACTGTTATTTTCAACTTGTGTACTATTATCAGAGATTGTACTATTATCAACAAAAGTTGAATTATCAATCAAAGTACTATTATCTATCAAAGTACTGTTATTATCATCACTAGGTAAAGTTTCATTACCACCAGGTACAGTACTATTGTTATCAATTAAAGTACTGTTTTCTGCTAGAGTGGAATTTTCTCCTTTTGGCAATGTTTCATTATCAAAGGAAGTAGTATTATCAACCGTTGTTTCAATACCTCCTGGTAAGGTACTATTATCAACAATTGTTTCATTACCGCTTGGTATAGTTTCATTTGCATCTGATGCTGTACTATTATCCATAACTGTAGTATTAGAATCGTTTGATCCTTCAACAGTTGAGTTCTTTTCATCTGAGGATACACCGTTATCATTTAAGGTACTATTATCAGCAAGAGTGGAATTATCAATTAAAGTAGTGTTATCAAGCAGCGTACTATTGTCAAATTGTGTGCTATTATCAGAGATAGTACTGTTATCAACCAGAGTGGAATTATCAGTCAAAGTACTGTTGTCTGCTATGGTACTGTTGTCTGCAAGCGTAGAATTTTCCTCAGTTGGCAAAGTTGCATTATCAAAAGAAGTACTATTATCAACCAAAGTACTGTTATTTTCAGCAATTGTTTCATTAGCATTTGATGTTGTATTATTATCCATAACCGAAGTAGTATTATTGGAATCGTTTGATCCCTCAATGGTAGAGTTCTTTTCATCTGAGGATACACCATTATCAACCAAAGTACTGTTATCAACGAGTGTGCCATTATTGTCATAGAGAGTACTGTTATCAAGAGTTGAATTATCAATCAATGTACTATTATCTATCAGAGTACTGTTATCAGCAAGTGTAGAATTTTCCTCAGTTGGCAAAGTTGCATTATCAAAAGAAGTACTATTATCAACCAAAGTACTGTTATCAACAAGCGTGCTGTTGTCAACAACAGAAAGAGTACTATTGTCCTCTTGTGTGATATTATTGGAAGAATCAACAGAAGGTGAATTAACAACAAGCAAATCACTACAAGTTGGACCTCCATATCCATCGTTACATGTCTCACATATTCCAGTCTCGACGTTACAACTGCCATGCTCACATATTCCATTCACATCTGTACAATTCTCTTGGCAATAAGTAGAGTTGTAAGCATAGTAAGACTCTGCACAAGCGCAATTTGCAGCTCCGCAATCACCCTTACACAATGGGTCAGTAGGGCATGAACTTAATGCAACATCATTGTCAGCCTTAATAAAAGTAATCAAGGCAAAGAAGAAGAGCAAAACTACAAGCAAAACTGCTCTCTTCTCCAGCAAGATGGTTAATTTCATTTTTTTTACAGTCAAAACTTGTGCAAGTGTATAAATACTTTTATTCCATTAAGAATACTTGTTTTTAAATAAGGACCTTAGAGGAGATCGCGTGAATCAATAGCAAATAGCATCGCCCAACACTAGTGTTGTTGAATATTTACTGGTAAGTGTGCACCTAGAGGATTTGCTTTAAATTTATCACTCGTATGTTGGTTTTCAAGATGCATAAACCACAAACAAAAATATTGTTAGGGGCACTGTATGCAGCCTTGACCTTTCAACAATAATCCCAATTCCATGTTAATCCTTCAGTTCCTTATTTATCTATTAGAAAAGTCCAAAACAAAGTTTGCTTTGAGTTTAATTACCAAGGCAATGAACCTCATCCATGTTACATCTATGTTTGTGCAAAATATGTGACACTCGATTATGTGCATCTTGTGTCCTTTTCGAGACATTTTCTGGTTCAACAAGGGCGTATTTGCTCAATAGAATGGAAATAAGGATGAATATGAACAATTTTAATTGGGGTTGCAACATGACAATCCCAATGATCAACAATTCTCATCAACTTTGTTTCAGAATAGTTGAACATATATTAGAGATTAATTTTCAATGTAATTCTTATCAAACTATCGCAAAACAACCATCCCAACACTCTTCTGAGATTTAATGAACTTATCATGGAGAAACGCCGAATCAATCAAACAACAACTTTCAATCTCCCTAATTGAAAGATTCGCTCAACAATTTCCGATCCTTCTATGGAATATTTATTGTCTATTGTAAGAAATTACAGACACCAAATACATAATCGGTCTCCAATCAAATTCAGGTAGTTCAGCCTTAACTGTTATTTCCCAAGTTTCCATCAAATTAACAAATGGTTTTGTTGCAAGTTTAGCATAAACAAGACTTCCATCTGCTGACTTTATATCGATATCAATAGTAGCAAATGAAAGGTTTTCTTCTGCATGAGCTACTTGTTCATTAGCACTGTTAAAGATCTTGTATTTTCGTAAAAGGAATGTAAATTCCTGTTCAATTTTTCCCAATGTCTGGAATGGCACTTCGGTATCGTTTTGACAGACTGCAATATCAACCTTCTGACCCAAAGAGAAGATGGTTCCTCTGCCCTCACAACTTCCCAAATCCTCTGGGGTCATCAAATCAATACGATAAGGAACAGCCCAAGATCTAAACTTCATCTTGCCCATCCTATTCGCATCCTCAACAGTTTCATTAAATATACCAAATCTTGATAAGCCAAACTCCTTTTGCATTGTTATTTTTGATCCTATAGGGAAGTACTTTAAGTTATCTGTGCTGTAACAATATTGAGGAGGAATACTGTTGATGATACCAATCGGAAGAAGAATTGCCAATGTCATAATTACTACACAGCAAAAAAAAGCACATCCACATAGTGAGAAGAAGACATTACTCTTGGACATTGCTTAATAATAATAATTTACAGGTATTGCGTTGTCTTGTTGTTGAGAGAATTTCGACGCAACTGTGTTGAGTCTTTTTTTGATAATTGAAAACTGCCTGTAATTGCTCAAGGTTCATTACAGCGAGTAGAGGCAATGTAGTAGTATTAGTATTCAACTCAACATTTTAAAAGGAATAAGTAGTTAATTAAATTGACAAGTTGATAGGTCCATTCTCGATCATTAATTCAAAGGGTGTGTTTACCCCATTTTGCTTCCATCCATTCTTTTCACTCTTTTTCAAAAATTCCAAAACGTCCTTTGCATAATTATTGGCTCTGAATTTCATCAATTGATGTATGACTTTCACAGGTATCTTACCTTTAAAGTCTATACCTATCAGCTGATAATATTTACATGTATTTTCGTCAATATGTTTGAATGCCCAGCCAACTAGTGATAATCCCTTAATAGAATCCTTAATTGGTTTTTCCTTTGGATGGTTTACTGACTTGACACACAGAAAATAGGTATCACTACTAGGGTCGTAGATTGATGAAGCACAATACATAAAGACTCGATCCTTTGCAGGCCATTTCATTCTGTAAACTTCTTGCGTAAATTCACATGCTAGGGTGGTATCTGTTTTTAGAATCCTATCAAGTTGCTCAGAGGATTTCAAAAGCTTGTCATATAATTTTCTATTTTCTGTATCTAGTAAGCATTTCATCACTTTTTTACAATTGAAAGGAAATAGTATCTCATATTTGAAAAAGTTAATCTTGCTGTCTTCTGTGGACTCCATTCTATAATTTTCAGTCGATGTGAATACTTCATAGTTTTTTCCCTTCTTGATCCTGGACCAAAATTCCTCATTCCATAAGTAGTATTTGAGTAGAGAAAAGTGTTCAACAGTAATAGATGTTACATTCAAATTTTGAATGAATGCAATAAAATTTTGATGTGTTACTGGCTTGAGTGTTGCAACCTTGTCAAGGAGTTGCTCAATAGACTCTTCCTTTTGCTTCAATTCTAGAAACCTTTGGAAACGATCACATTTTAGAAATAAGGGAAAACACAACTCCTTCAGTGTATAGGTCACGCATGCTTCTATTTCATTGAATACATTGAAATAATCTCTAAAAAACTCATCCACCGAAATGGAGTCTACATTAGAAATATGAGTGCAAACATTAATAGACGGAATATCATTATCTTCACAAATTAAATCCCCCACAAACAAATCGCCTTCATCAATAGAAGTACGTCCTCTATCACTCGTTGAAACGTCAATAGCAGTTGCATTAGAATCTCCTCTTTTTCTACTGCTTTCCAATGCTTGAGAAGGAACAGAGGAAGTTGATACATTACTATTGTTTCTACTCCTTGAAGCTTCAATCAGAGAAGTGGCTAGCTTTGTAACATCCTTAGGAGTTGATGAAAGAGAGACTCTCCGTGGACACACGTATTCATTGTCATCATTTACAAGTCTAGAAAAGATTTGTATTGACTTTTCTCTAATTGAGTGAGGTACATCAAGAAGAGTATCCTGATTCTTCCAATTTCCATCATTGATATAATCATTGTAAATTTCAATAGCAAAGTTTAGTTTGTTTGTGTTGGACTTTTTAATTTTCATCCATCCAATCTTCTCCAAACAATAATAATAATTAGAAGGTAGTGTATGATATTTGGATTCTCCGTAGGAAGATTGTGATAATGAAACCTTTCCCTTTGTATTCAGACTTGTTGTACCACTACCAGTACTACAAATATCCTCATCATCATCAAGATTACTATCCATTCGGTGGGCCATCATTGATAAACTCTCACTCGTTAAATCATTCCTCAAATATTCAACAAAACAAGTTTTAGTTTCCTCCTCATCCAAAACATCCTCAAACGAAAATACATAATCATTGACATTAAAAGTCAAGAGTGGTTGTGATTTTTCATCGGCTGATGAGACTGAACTGCTTCGTCTACCTGCTCCTCCTGATGAAGAAGCAACTTCAAAGTTTTCCTTGGTACCACTCCTTGATGAACTGCTCGCTCCATACAATGATGATGACATGTTTTTTGTGATTAGTAATGATGATTCCATCTCCACTCATCAAGTGTTTTTCCTTATGAGCATCCATGAATCTTTTGGAAGAAGATATGTTGAATAAAGCAAGTAATATTCATTATTCAGAAAATATATTCCTAACATTTTCATTCTCACCATGAACGGATTAAAGTAGGCCAATTAGTTGTTCGTCGACAACAATAATAATCTTCACATGCTGGTTGTATATTAACACCTAATAATTTTCTTTTTTTAAAAAAATGAAACTCTTGTCAATTATGTTGTTGGTGCTCTTGATGAGTACTCTTGTTGTTGTTTTTGGACAACAATCAAATATTAATAATTCAACAGGTGTTGGCATTCATGTTGATGAATTGGTTGAATATTATTTAGGAGATCCATCCGATCGTCTCTCAAAGGAAGCAAAAATTTTAACTCCTCTTGATGAACGTTGTGTAGGCACACAAAAATCATGGACAACAGCTTCTATCTTGTCATTGATTCTAGGAGGTCTAGGAATTGATAGATTATATATTGGACATGTAGGAATTGGTCTTTTAAAATTGTTTCTTGGTTTGGCCTTGTTTGGATTTTCCATCTTCAGATGCTGCTTTACCTTTGCTTTTGATACCCAAAAATTCAATAGAAAGAACAGTATGATGTGGTTGAGTTTTGTTAGCTTGGTGACAATATTCTCATTTGTTCAATTCTTATTGTGGATAATTGATTTGGTTCGTATCATGACCAACTCTGTATTGGACGGAAACAATTGTCCCCTCAGTTACTCTAGCTAGGAATTTTGAATCTTACATTCCAATAGAACATGAAAAGACAAAGGAAGTCCAACTCCAATGGATGCACAAATTACAAATTATTGTTTGTAATTTATAATTTATTCGTACGTGGAGTTGAAAAGTTTAACCTCAATATTTCCACTCCAATCTCCTCGGGGCTCAGATCAGAACTGTGAAGTTCCAGCACGTATTGTAAGTGTATACAACTGTTGCAGTAAACAATTGCTCTTCAAGTTGCGTTTATACAGTAACTTGATGATGGGTGGTTTTATTTTACAATGAGTGAAATCTCTGAAACAACCTCATCAAAATTATCGGCTTTTCTCTGAGAAGAATCTGTTTTGAACAGTTCGAAGGGGTGTATCTGAGCTGTACAACCATTCTCCTTAAATAAATTGTAAACCTTCTCCTGTTGATCTTTTAGCAACGTATTTCTAACTGCAAACAACCAAATTATGTCACTGTTTACATATTGAGAAACAAGCTTGGATACGAGAGGCCAGTGTCTGATAGATTCAATTGTCCCATTTAATGAACGTGAATTTCAAATGAAATAATTCAAACAATACGTACCCTTTTCCTTCCATTTCAAGCCATCCCAATTCATCCACTACTAGGAGAATTTTCTCTCCAACTCTATTTTCCTTCATTAAGCTTTGAAGTTTCTCCTCCAATAATTGGCTAATCTGACCAAAAACTTCATTATTGAAAATCCAACGAGGTTGCTTTGGTTTCTTTGCCTTCATATTTTCAGACATGATTGAAACTGTATCCTCAGGATTGAATTCTGGATTGAGAGTTGCCAATTTAAAAATCTTCTTCTCCTCATTCTCTCCAATTAATTTGGTAAGGAAATGAATTTCTATTGCCGTACGATGTTGTTCAATATTTACAATTTTAATTTGCTGACTATTATGAGAAGACTTTTCTTGATTCACTTGATCGCCTTGTTTCTGATCATAGATAGAAGGTTGCACAAAACCAATTACATTCACTGAGGACACCTCTCCAATAACACGTTCCAATGCTGTAGTTTTTCCAAATCCAATTTCCCCTCCAACTAGGACGACACTATGCAATTTTTCGACCATTTTTAATAATTGATTAGGATCCGATGATTCGTAATTTGAAGCCTTGCTGATTGTTGTATCGTTGCCCGATTAATGATGAAGAATCTCCCTGCCAGTGTGGTTTCAATATTTTTTTATATTTTATTAAATCATTGGAATTTTGTACAAAGGTCTCATTTGGTTTCCAGTTTTCTATTCTTCTTCATGATGTGTAAAAGATTGAAGTGATCACATGAAGAATTATTAGAAACGAAACAAGTATTGTTCATTTAAGGACTTTGCAAGGCATGATTGAGACTTTTAATTTGGTTTAGGCGCCCTCAGCATGCTTTGTAACAATTTGCAAGATTCAACTACTGTACGAATCTCATTCAACCTCAATGTATTTACAGTAAAATGAGAAGAAACAAAACGAAAGTATCATCCCAAAAGGAATCAACACAAAATATCAACTTATAAATAACTCATTACGTTCCGTTTCCGAGACAATAAATCATCAACACTTACTAAAATCATCTTTTTTTACAACCTAAAGTCTCTTTTAGGGTCTTCCGAATCCGAGGAATTTATTTCCTCTCCGGTTTCCTCTCCGAAATACGGAGTTCTTAACTGTAAGGCAAAGCAAGGACCACAAATAGTCGTTGAAAATCATGAGTGACCTCAGCAGGAGACAAATTATTTGACTCGCAACACGACAAGCATTTTCTACCCTTCAAAAATAATAATCAAGCATTTTCTTCCCAACAACACAGACCCACTTCAAAATGCCGATCCACACAGCTGTGCAAATCATACGGGCTTTGAGGTACCACGAACATTAAACACTTAGAAAAAAAACTCTCAACCGACACTCCACAAAATCCTCCTTGGACTCCTCTTCACTTCTTCAAAGGCTTTAACTCCTTTGATTTTCCAATTACCTTCCAATAACAACAACAACGAGAAGATTTTGTACACATCCAATAATTAGTGGTGCTGCATCTATTATAACGTTTGTGTCTTGACAACTGTTTAACTATATATAATTGACACAATTCTAAACTCTCTCAAGTTACTGTATCTATCTGAGAATCATTCCTTTGCAATAAGCAAAACAACAACAATCAACTACTATTATCACATTGACTCAATTGGACGTTGATCCTTTGTTTCTGAAAACTCCCTCTCTCTTGTAAATATATACATTACACTCACATACTTTGACAACAAACCCAGTTAGTTTGTAAATATGGTCTCAAAGAATCAAGCCAACATTGAAACAAGTGACTCTGCTTGTTCTTCACCTCAAAAGATTAAAAAGAGCAAAAAGACAAGTCAACTGACTAATTCCCCACCAAGCATTCCACTCACTCTTACCCAAGTTCTGCCAAAGCAACGTAAAGAGTACACCATCCAGCAGAAACGTGAGAAATGGAGTGATGAAGAACACGACAAGTTTATCGAAGCCATTAGGTTGCACGGCAGAGATTGGAAGAAGGTTGAAGAATTTATTGGAACCAAGACAAGAAAGCAAATTAGATCCCATGCTCAAAAGCATTTCGAAAAGATGAAAAAGACTGGTGAAGAATTTCCAGCTCCAAGAGCAAAGAAAAAGAGTTCCAAACCTTATCCATCCAAGTAAGTATATTTTTTCACATGCATTCTAATTTTATTCACAATTTATTTAAAATTCCATCCATCCACCTTAATGAACTCTTAACAGGAAAACAAATGAGATTTACAATGCCTTGTCCAATGAACAAATTGTCTCCAACTTGAAGAACATCCCTAATGAATTTTTTGAAAAGTTGATTGCTCAACATGATGTCACTGATGCTATCCGATTGATTCACTTGTTGGTAACGACAGACTCTGCCAAGACTTTCTCTGAACAAGAAAGAGCACTCATAAAGACTATTATACACAATGCTAACATTCTTTCTGAGAAGCAAAGACAATCATCCATGAGTAGCGAGTCCACCAATCACTTGGTGTTTTTATTATCGATTTTTACTAATTTTGCTGATTTGTTTGATTCTAACGATAGGTCAAACAAGGTATCTAGTCCAACAAGCCAAGCTGCTGCTAGCACTCAATCACCAAAACCTAAGCATGCTTCTGAAAAGAAGGAGTCAACCCCAGTTGTTAAAACAGAATCCGTTGATGATTGGAATTCCTCTGTTAATGCACTTGTTGTCGAGGAAGAGCTTGCAGATTTTAATCAAGTTCTCAACAATCAAAAGCATCAACAACAACAACACCAATTATTGCAACAACAAATGGAATCCAACCAAGCCCTCAATCCTAATGCTTTGTCTTCGATATTCCCACATCTTATGCTCATGAACTCAAAGGCAAACATGTCTACCAACCAACAAATGCCATCCACATCTACTGTCGATGTCATGAATGCAATGATGAGCTCAGATGCTGATCAATACACTCAATACTACAATGTTATTGATAATGTGAGTAGTGCCTCATCATTCTCTGGTGAGGAAAGAGATTCATTCTCACAGACCTTTGATGATGGTACTTTTGGTATGATGTCCAATCCTCACACTACTACAATGCTTAATCCAATTGCACTTTGTAATCCTATTACAGTTTGTCCACCTCAACAATTCATGTATATTCCAACCATTTTGCTTCAACAACCAGCTCCAGAGCATTTTTGTAATTTCCAAATTCCAACCAATACCTTGTACATAGCGCAACAACCTTCGACGAATCCTCAAAATTTTGACCAATCTATCTTGTCCTTCTTTGATCAAAAGGACAATGAAGAGCAATCTGATTCATTCAATGTAAATACCATTTTTGACACTTATTAAAGTACTTGTAAATATTCCCATTTCTAATAATTATTCATGTGTTCCATTCTTATTTTTCAACTTCATCAATCTTAGTTTCCATCATTACTTGAACTGTCTCTCAACCAATTTCCCAATGGTTGTGTTCTGTAACTTGGTAAATGGGAAAGACACAGGAAAGACCTGTCATGCCATTTGTTTTTAATTTGATTTGTTTGAGAATCTTTGAGATTTATTTAAATGGGGATAGGAAAAATCGAACCGAAAAATCATTCCGTAGATTACAAAACTTACAAAAAATCTATTTGAAATCCCAGCCAATTCAGAAAGTCTTCTTTTTCAATTAGAAAAACATCCATTTTCGTATTAAAAGAAGGAAAATTAGAGAAAAATTCTTGATTTTTTACCACTTCAAATTATTGAATGAATTTACATCATTGCCATGTACTTTTTAACATCTTGTAAATAGGTTGTATAATATTCAATATAGCCAGTCCATTCATGCCACAATCGAACCACAGGTGTATTCAATCCAGTAATCATTTCTCTGTGAACCAATTTGGTATTTCTCTTATCCAAATCCTCAGCAACCACAAAGTAATGATCCCCACTGAAAATATACTTGTGTACCATGACTCCAACCCATCCAAATTGATATGGATATTGCTTTGGAGACCAATGAGAAAGAACAACATCAGTTTTACCCAATTTTTCCAAATCCACTTTAAACTTGGTTTTTCCAACTATCATACTGTTTGTTGGAGCATTGGCAGGATCAATTTCATACAATCCTTTCACCATTCCGAGAGGATAATTCCTCTTATCAATAATATATTTAAATACTTGATCAGGTGTTTTGTTTTCAATCACTATTGAACGATCGATCAGGAATGATAATTTAAAATCATTATGGTACAATGCATAGGAATAGAAAAGTCCCCAAGCTGCAGCCAAACTAATAGCAATCTCCTTGTAGTACATTTTTTAATTAAATTGAAATATGATGATTCTTCGACTGGCGATGCTGATGAAATATTGCGAGTCAATCAAAATGCTGTATGGAATGAAACTTCCTCTTCAATTTGAACTCGGATATGAAATAGCTTCAGCCACAATATTGAATTTAAATTGATTAACAATAACCCATGCAAATTTACACCAAAAACTAGAATATTCGATGAGAATTTTTATTTTGTTTTGAATTTTAAAAAAATGTTCGTTAGATAGCGCGGCAATTTGTTGCTAGTATTCAATTATGCTTCTTGAATCATCAAGTGGAGACACAATTAATAGGAAAATCACATAAAACATAAAACATCACATGACTGCAAAAACAATTAGAACAAGATGAAGATAGGCTACGTTGGTATGAATAGGGCACTCAAATTAACAACCTCCAATACAACCCGATTGAATAATGTTTCTCCAAAGAAGATTAAAGAAAAATTGCTAGTTAATATTGATCACTTGAAAAAGATGCTCAAGTGGAATGTTCAGAAGAATTTGCTCTTCTTTAGAATTGGAAGTGAATTTGTGCCATTTGCTAGTCATGAAAAGGTTCGGGATGAAGAATTCAAGCAAGAATTTAATTGGATTGAGGAATGCGAAGATGATCTAAAGGAGATTGGAAAGTTTGTAAAGGAAAATAATATTAGAATTAGCATGCACCCTGATCAATTTGTATTGATTAATTCACCTGATATGGAAATATTCAATAGATCCTATGAAGAATTGAACTATCACGCTCAATTGATGAATACTATGGGATTAGATACCACTCATAAATTCCAAATACATTTGGGTGGAAAGTATGATGACAAGAGAAAGTCAATGCAAAGATTTGTTGATCGATACAAGAATAATTTGAATGATGCTATCAGGGCTCGATGTGTATTGGAAAATGATGATAGAATTTATAGTTTGGAAGATGTGTATTGGATACATCAACAATGTGGCATTCCAATTCTCTTTGATACATTGCATCATGAATGTTTGAATTCAAATGGTGACTCTTTAGAAGTGGCATTCAAGAAAGCTGCTAGTACTTGGGATCCGGTTAAGGATGGTGTTCCTCTTATTGACTATTCAGATCAAGAACCAGGTGCACGTATTGGAAATCATAGAAAGAGCATTGAATTGAAGCATTTCAAGAAGGTAATTTGTGACAAGTTAATGAAATGCAAGAACGATGATGGAGAATTTATTGAATTTGATGTCATGTTGGAAATCAAGGATAAGGACGCTAGTGCCATTAAGATCTTACCAGTCTTTTTAAAAGGTGTTGAGGATAGAGAAAAGGATCCAGAACCAACTGAGGATGACAATCAAGAAGATTTAAAAGTCCAAGTATTAGAGGAAGATGAGGACGAAGCAGTATCGAGTGAGGAAGAAAAACCAAAGAAGAGAAAGAAGGCACCAACCAAGAAGGCATCCACTACCAAGAGAAAGAAAAAATAAACCAACACTCAATATTTCAATAACAAGGATTTCTCACGTTCTTATTTGGTGGTTGTGTAAAGATAGGGGTGTTTGACATGATATGGACACGATGCCCTTTTGATCTGTTGAGTGAACCGACAGAAAAAATGCAAACAACGATTCTTATTCACCTTCTGCTGACATTTCTATGTTTCAATCTTGTGAGACAAACAAGAGCAGCATTCCAGTATAATAACTCACTCACACAAGTTCTTCATCCAACACAGGAATGTCTACTAAATCCACCTGTTAATAATTTCTATTATTCATTCCTGTACACAATTGACTCACCACTACAGGATTATTGTGGAATGAATTATAGTGAATCATGCTCCTCGATTTGTGGAAATACCATCATTATGAATGTCAAGTCAACATCAAATCTTGATGAAATGACAGGATTGATTAATTATTGTTTGTATTGTGATAGTTCAGAGTCTTTGGAATTTAGGAAGAAATTGGTGGACGGAGAATGTGCTAGTTTTGCAATAGGAAATGCAAATGTTGGACCGAAACTATACGAAATGATGGAATATCACTGTGGAGAAAATAACATTCCTTTGGTTGATCTGAGTTTCGTCAATACGGATTATTTTAGTCGAAATCTCTACACATCCAAGAATAGTACTCTTGATTGGAAAACGATTATTTCTCTCTTTTTTTCCAAATATTACCCTTCATCACAATATTCGAAACCTCCACCATTGGAAATTCCTGTGCTTTGTTGGTGTAATTATCAAAATGCAGATTCTCAAACATTCTCCCACCAATGCTTTGATGTGAATTCCAACTTTCTAATGTACAGCTATAGAGTAAGTCCTCTCATTCTGACAATAGTTTTCTTTCTGCTATTCATTCTTCATTTCATCTTTCTGGTAATTCCTAAATTTACAGAGAGAATCATCAAGCTCAAGAAGGCCCTCTCATTTGACCACGAATTCAAACCAACCTCCTTCAAAATCAAATACACCATCCTCCATTTCATTCACATTTCCATTCATCCACCAGTTTTATTTTCCATTACTTTGTTTTTACCATTCATTGAGAATTTGATCAGAGTTTTGAGTAATTATGCATTTTTCTATTCATATTATATGAATTATTTTGTTGGGATATTTAGAGGATTGGGAGGATTGTGTGGATTGTGTGCGTATAGTTCTTTAGTCATATTGTGGTCTCACTCAATTGACTTGGCGAATACGAAGAAGGAACAACCAATGTTTCTTTCAAAGATTAATATGGTCATTCTGGGATTGGTATATATTGGAGTGGCCATTACACTGATTACACTATTTGCTCTCTTTCTTACCATTGATCAAAATAGTGCCTATATAGTTGTGTCAGTTTCGGCTCTCATTTACACATTGAGTTTCGTATTGGGATTTATAATATACGGCTTTAAAATGATTCACAAACTCAGAGCTAGTAATATTTGGGAGTACAAATTTACCAAATTCATACTTTCCATCTCAATCATCTCCACAATAGTTTGGATATTATCAATCCTAATCTTTATCACTTACTCATTTGGATTTGACATTTTTGGAAATTTCTTTGGAAATGCAAGAAATATCATTTTGGATTTATGTATAATTTCAATGACCATTCTCTCCTCCTACATTACTATCAATGAGGAGGGTTTCAAGAGATTATATGGTGAGAAAGTGTATCTCTTGATTAGTCTTTCATGTTTCTCATTGAAGAATCATGATTCAAAGACTGGTACAATGATGAATTCGAATAATTATTTGAATACTGCTGGTGGAAACAATAGAAATAAGGAAGATTTCAAAACGAGTCAGGAATTGGAATCAAAAGAAGTAATCGATCAAGTCTAGCACTTTTACTAACTTTGACTTGTTGAACAATGAAAAAGGATGAAATTATTATTGGAAACTACAATAATTGTAAAGGTCAATTAGAAAGATAATTGAATATTTAACATGCCTTCCATTGAAATGAGTACTTGGTATAGAATTACAACATTCCATCCAATGGAAAGATTAGTTTAAAAATAATTCTAATCTCATTGAGGTCGTACTTGGCAATATCAATTAAATTAGTGATTACATGACTATTGTGGCGTCTTTTTTTATTCCCAATAAAGCTAACGCTCCAATGTAACGAAACCTTTCGTGTAATTCAAAAAAAAAATGCAGAAAGTTATTTTCCTATTGCTGGTTCTGATATTTATGCTTGTGAAAGAGCAAGCTCACGCGTATTCGAATGTTTATTCTGTCAAGAATACTGTGCAATCATTTTGTTTCTCTCCCAACGGACTTTCTCTCTATCTAGCATCGCAAGATAACGCTATTCGAAAGATGGACGAAATTCACCATAATCACATTCAAGCAGTTGCTTGTGATCCTATGGCACATTCTGGTTACAGCGGTGATGACAGCGATGCCATGTTGGCTGGCTGCCATCTGTCAAACAAGCAAGGAAGCTTGCAAGTTTTGTATGGAAAAGTTTATTTTGTTAATGGCTTGGCGTTGAGAATGGTTGATGAACAAGAAGGTATCATGAAGACTATTCTTGAAGATGACATTTCATCCATGTATGTGAATGACTATGAAGAAATTATTTATGCCTCTGGTAATTCGATTAAGAAACTTTCGGATGGTTTCGTCCAAGTTTTAGCAGGTGGATCAGAATGTATTGGTGATCAAGATGGATTATTCATGAAGGAAAGTTGCGTTTCACCAACACATGTTGTTCAAGACGAAAGATCTGAAGGAGTAATTTACTTTTACGATGAAAAGTTAAAAGTCATTAGAAAAATCAAAGACGAAATTGTTACCACAGTTCCAGGAAGTAAGTTTACAATTAATTTTTGAGAATTTAATGAAAATGAATCAATAGCCAGTGGATTTTCAATCTTTGACGTAAAACATGGAATGGTCTATTGTTCAAATGGTAAATTGATCAAGAAAATTCAACATGATGGAACTTTCCAAATTTTGAATGGAATTCCAACAAAGTCTACAATTTCCATGCTTAAAATTTCACCGGAATGGAGTGAAGATGAAGTTTATTTCATTTCTCAAAATGGAGATCTCCAAAAAATCAATTATCTTGGAAAATTGGAAACAATTATTTCCAAATCAGTTTTCAAACCTAAATTTTATAGAACTAGAACAATTTTACAACAATTTGAATATAAGGGAAATAATAATACTTGTTTCTATTATTGTAATGGAACAACCAATGGTACTGTTAATGGAAATAGTTCAAACTTTGGAAACAATACTTTTGGTAATAACACATTTGGTAATAATACATTTGGTAATAATACTAATGGAAATGAAACAAAGCCAAATAATGACAGAATTGACTATTATCCAACTCCAATTCTTCAATCACAGGTTTCTGAAGATGGATCTGGTGTTAGATTTGTAATTACATTTGGTAAATCGGCTGCGTACACTCATCGTTTATTCTATGTCCAGGATTCGAAATATGACACGAAACTTTGTAAGAATACCTATTTAGAAAGAGCCATTCCAATGACTCGGTTAGAATCTTCAGATATTACACTAACTCAAAACTATTCTACCAATTACATTCCATTAGCTAATTTAATTAACAATACTTCAGTTGATAAGAAATTGACAGCTGACTATTTACAATTAACTATTAATTTGGCTTTGGAATATATTGACAATGAGGGTGAATTTAATGGAGGATTCTGTAGAGCTTATATTTACAAAACTTCACAAGTTATTAATGTGTTTTATTCCACCAACATTATTTCATCACTTTCTGTCAATAAGTTACTGGACTATTCCTATAATATTTATCCTCAACTTGTTACAACAGATAGTAACAGTGGTGCTGGTAGTTTAATTGTTGAGCTCATGTTAGAAACTAGCAATCTCTCACTTATTCAATTCACATTCCAAAACTCTACAAATCCAAACAGCAATTTCATAATCAATAATGTCGAATATCAATTCCAATCAAAATCATTCAAATATTGGAAGATTTCCATGAAAACTGCTTCAAAGGCTTTTGATTTCACAGGAACCTCACTCTTCTACTCTAAATTTGAATCAACCAGAGGATATATTTTCAATGATTACATTCCACTCGTCATTAATTATCAAATTGCAATTCCTCCAGAAGAAAAAAACACAACTGTGAAATATTCGCTATCTCTCTCTGGAAATGACTTGGTACCAAAGTCTTCATTCGCCCTTGGTGATTCAATCTTTGTAAGAATGACAGCTCAATTCAGTTATGGAACTTACAAGTTGAGAGCCAAGTCAGCTGTCTTGTGTTGCATGAAGGAGTTTAGTCCTGCACCAATTTATGATCCTTCCAAAAATTTATTTGGATGCTCCACCTATGATTCTAACACAATGGATGTTTGGAAATCTCTCTATTCAGGATTTGTTTCAAATTCTCAAATGGAAATTGTAGAATTCCCATCTCCAGAAAGTACTCACATTTTCAATTTCAAACTCAAATATGATTATTTCCCTGTGAGAAGTAGTTCTTACACTGCTGCTTGTTATATTCAAACAACTGGTGGATTAAAGGAACCTAATTCTAGAGAGATTCATTCTGAAAGTTATCCAGAAACTGAAGTTCATCCATTGAGTGTCATTATTCCAGAAAGTACTCAACCAAAACCTATTACTTCTACCAAGACTGTATCATCTGTCAATTCTTTGCACAGTTTCAATTTGATGATGGTTTTATTATCACTTTTAATTGGTCTCTTTATCATTTATTAAGAATAATGAATAAATAATCTTTGAATTATTCTAATTGATTAGTTTCAATTTCTTTTTCTAAGTTTCATTTTACAATTAATATACATTATTTTCACTAATTCTCTCCAATAAATCTAATAATTTCCTTATAAATATGTTCTCTCACAGCCGTATCATGTACTTCATCAAATCCTTCCACAAGATCATCATCATCATATTTATTCGGATTGACTTGTCCCTTTCCACTCTCCCAAACCAACCCTTGAATTTCATAAATAATATTCATAATTTCATCTTGATCAGCATTGGAGGCAATTGTTGTTGGTAATTTATTGTCGGTTTTCAATTTTTCCAATACTTTCCTTGTGTTCTCTTCTACTGCCTTCCCACCAGCAATTGTAAACATTCCGAAAGTGTTGGGTGTTTTTTTGAATAACATTCTCTTCATTTTGGAAGCAAAGTTTGTGAGGTTCTGTTCTGCTTCTTCATGTTGCGACATTTTTTTTCCAGTAAAATAAAGAAATTCGAACAATTCCCAAGTTCCATTTAATTTATTGTAAATTCAACACGTGTTTTTAATACAACACAAAGTTCAACCATTTATGACATTCAATCTTCATTCCAAAATTCATTAAGATTGCACGCCTACACTTTTGGAAAAACAATCCTTTTTGGAAAATGTGCTCATGTTAAATTTCTTTCATTAAGAGTTATGTATCTTGAATTTCGAGAGTATGTAAGAATAAGAAGAAGAGTATTATTAAACCAACTATTCAAAAAAACAACACAACAACAACATGATGATAATAACTTCGGAAGCAGCACTTGATAAAATCAAATCTTCATCATCATCACAACATATTGCACAAAAGCAAGTGAGGTTTCACCCAAGTACATCATCGGACCCTCTTCATAAAGAAGAAGAAATCATAATACAAGATGAAATTGAACTGTTTGAACAATCTGCTGCCGTAACAACAACAGTTACAAGACTGAATGAAGAAGTGCCACCATTAAGTACTGTTTGCAAATCTTCATCAGTAGTATTTCATCTTCCCTCATTAGAATCATTGGCACAAGATATCAAAAACTCACCTCCTTCTGAAGTAACTCAATTAGTGTTACCATCACCACTAGTTGGCAATGTTAAGTATCCTGTGATTACAATTCCACTTTTGGTGGGAATTATTTGTTTACCTGTAGTTGGAACTGTTATAGGTTTGATTGCTTTTTTGAAATTTAAAAAGACATTTGAAAGTGTCAGAATTTGGATAATTGTGAGCATTGTGATCAATTTGATGATTTGTTTGCTTACTGCCATAATCATTATACAAGTAATTATCATATTAAATCTCAGTAAATAAGTTCTCAAATGTTGTTCGTTTCATGGTTGAATAAAAAGACTACAGCACCACAGGTTCCCAAGTTGTCTCCAACCTCAGTACTGATGTGGCTCGACGATGCTTAACTTCTCAAATCGGACGGGATGAGGTGCATTCATCGTGATATGGCCGTAGCCATTCAATATCTTAAAATGTGAATAATAAATCATAGCCATTCATTTCCTTAAATTAAGGTTTATCAACCAACCCTTTTTGGTAAAGATCGATAAGAAAAGTACAAATTGGAGAGATGTTTATTAGAAATTACTTTTGAAATTATTCAGCTTTCTTTTTAGATAAATCCAACCATCCTAATCCAAACTGATTCAATAAATCATCAATAACTTTCTCTCTACTGGACATGAATGGTTCAATGTAACAATTATAAACAAAGTGAGCTCCACCTAAATGATGATTAATATTTAAATAATTCGAATAATATTATTACAAAATTTTCGAATAAATTTACTTACCAAAGTTTGTATTAACTTTAAAGATCAACCACAACAAGAAGAGAATTTTAACTTCAAAATAGAAAGGAATCCAATAAATTAACCATTCGAAAAAGCATTCGAAAGTGATCACAAAAGCATAAACTGACCAATAAGTCAACTAATTCCGATCATTAAATAATTAAATAATTTAATTTACTTACCCATTGCTTATCATCTTCTTCTTCCTTTGTTTTCAAAGCTTGGAATGATCTAAAAGCAGGATACAATGCTCCGAGAAGATTAGAAATTGATCGAGAGATTAAAAATCCAAACAACATTTTTTTTAATTTATTGATGTGTTTGAAAGGTGAAAGGTTTAGAATAAATCACTGTATGCTGATGGAGTTGTTACAACTTGTGCTGCAGCTTGATAATTTTCATAAGAACCTGCGTCAAAAGAATTGTTTGGGAATTGATCATAGGTTGGTGGTGGTTGTTGTTTCATATTCTTTGTGACACCTTCTAGATAGCTTAACAGAGCTGATAGGACAGCATCATTTTGAGAGACTGGAGAGCTATTGGCTGATGCATTACTATTTCTATCGGTTACTATCATTTCTTTTTGAGGAAGTGGGAAGTTGTTTTGTGGCATTAGATTTCTTTGAATTACTGCTTCCATTTCGTCAATTAGTGGTTTATATGCAGTAGATAGCCGCACATATCGTTTGGCAAGTGTTGTAATTGCTCGGTAATCCTTCTCCAAGAATGTAAAATAATCCACAGTAATAACCTTTTTAGATGATGTGGTAATTGAGGAAATCCTAGGTCTTAATCCTCTCTCAATTAATTTACAAATGTCCAAATGATATTGACAAGTTGTGGTAATACTAGCTAGTATTGTAGAGAGAGAATATCTGTAATTTCACAAGTCATTAAGAACTTGGTATTGAAAAATACTTACGGAAATAGTTCATGTTCAGTCATTAACGTAATTTTGAGTGCAATCTCTTCCACAGCACTTGGAGAAATATCAGGTATTCTACTCAAGAATAATAATTTGAATCCCTCCACAATAATGAATGAATGCATATGTTGAGATTTGAAAAATGTCTCCGAGTGACAATCAACCATCATTTTGATTAAACGTTGACGATAGCTAGAAACTGCATTGAACACTGCTTCAATAACTTGTTTGAAAAGCATGAAATTTTCAGTTGTGACAACAGCGTTTTTCAAATAGTCCCATGTACCAGGCAACAATATCTCAGAAATTGACTTGTCCAGAGAAACTTCCAAAATCTTTGGTAACCCCTTGATGAAAATGGCAAACTCATTTGGGGAATGTTGCTCAGCTCCACCCACAACAAAAGCTCTATGTTTCTCTAAATTCTTCTCATATAAATCCAAAGTTCTGTTTTGATTCTCCGAAAAGTAGAAATCTCCAAATAATAAATAGTATCTAGACCTTGGTAAATCTCCATATCCAATAAAGTATGCTCCCATATTGTGACAAGCTCCAACAAAGTAAAAGTTTGAAAAGTAATCTGTCGAGAGTTTGGCAATTTCCAATTCACATCTCTTGGCTGTGACTTGAGCAAAGCTCAACTGAGCAGTAATTTGTTCAGATAAAGCCAATGCTGACAAGTAAAAGGCAAATAAACACTTCATCTCAGCCTCTGTTGTGATAAATTCATTGGGAGGAACAATAATTTGTGGTGAACCATTCAAAAATTGTTGTAAACATGTCTTTACAAAAAATTCAAATTTGACCCTTTTCAAAACGGGATGTCCACTACAAAGGAAAGTATAATACAATTCTACCACATTCATTGGTGAAACTGTACTTGACATTGTTTGTGGAAATTGTGGTGACTGACCGTTTATGTGAGTTGGTGAAGTGTACGGAAGAGATGATGATGGGATGGTGGTTGGTAAATTTAGAGGCATGCTATTGAGTAATTGATGTTGTAGTTGATTGTCAATTGAGGGAGTACTATTTGATTTGTCAGTATTATTGGACGATGATGACTTTTTCCTTCTCTCCGTTTTGGTTGGATAAGCGTCCGAGCCTTTTCCTCGTTTTCTTGGTGTATTGTACTATTTGTATGAGATTGAAGAAATGATGATTATGATGAATACTTACTGTACATTTGAGTCCTCTGGCTGAACATTTAGAGCATTCAGGAAGCTTTTTATCACACTTATATAAAACGTGTAATCAATGATATGTTGTAACTACTACTAGACACCTACCTTTTTGTGTAGAGATCGACATTGAATGCAGGCTATTGGGTGAAAGCCTTCCGGAGCAGTTAATCCATCTCCAATATTATAATCTTCATCCTCTGATAATGAAGCTTGACTTTCGGTTTTCTTCATCTTGCTATTCTTGTTGTTGTATTCGTTTTATGTGATATGTCTCTTGTTGCTATCTTTTTACTATTAGAGAGAATTAATACTTGTTCTTCTTGTGATGTTGAGCATCATACACAGGATTAAAAAAACGTTCCTCTTCTTCTTATTGTTATTTTGTTGTTGTTGTTGTTCCTATTGTTGTTCTTATTGTTGTTACTTCTCTCACAAGAAAGCACCTTGCTGGTTATAACGGCTGGTCAGAGATTTCAGCTGTTTTTTTCTCTCTTAAATAACAGTATAAAACCAGATGATACACAAACCTCGGTCTCCTTCCTAATAAAACAATTGCTTGCATCCTTCCATCATCATCTCTCAACACTTTTATCTTTGCATTCCATCATTTTTTCGATATTGTCATCATATTCTATCAAGCAGTGAGCCATTCTACTTGTTCAACTCCTCTCTTTTGAAAAAAAAGTGTCGGTGTTATTTTACGCTTCTGTTTGAGGCAGCATTAAATAAAGTCCTCGCTCTCTGCCTATCGGATGATTGACACAATTAAGGATAATGTAAAATGTGTCCTCGTTGATTGCTTGTTAGGAAGTTACTGTCCTTCTTGGATTTCATTTGCTAGTTACTGTAAAGTTCAAGAGATGGTGGGATGGTTGTAAATTTAAATACAGGAAATAAGAAGTATTATGAAAACAACCTAAAATAATAATGAAATCAATCACTTGTTGAAAGATGTATGAATTACACCTTCAGTGAAAAGTCACTTGAACTGGCTTACTGATGTTTGAAAGCTGTCAAAAGTTAAAAAATCAATCAAAAAAAATAGACATCAAAATGGTTCTTTGTGCTGGTGATGAAATTCAATTAACTCTTGTCAGAGGAAAAAACTTGAAAGCTGCAGATTCGAACAATCTCAGTGATCCATTTGTGACTTTTGAATCAAGCACTGGACAAAAATCCAAATCAAAAACCATCAAGGATACATTGAATCCGGAATGGAATGAAAAATTCACATTTAAATTGGATAAAAGTGAAAATTTCATGCTTGTTATGCAAGTTTTTGATTTTGATTTAATCAAAAATGTATGTAAAGATTAATTAATTATATTAGAAATATTATTCGAAACTTTGTGAAAATATTTGAATTGACTTTCCAATAGGATTTTCTCGGATCAACAACAATTACAATTTCTGATGAAAAGTATGATATTGGAAAGGAACATGAAACTGAATTACCACTCCATGCAACAACCACTGGATCATTGGTCATTCGTTTCACCATTGTCAGGAAATAGACAATTTCTTGTACACACATTTAATAATTGAATAAAATTATTTAATAAAAATATGCTTGCTTCTTTGAATTATAAGTTTCTTCATCTAGACAGACCAGTGAACAGTCTCTACATTTAGTAAAGCATGCAACAATATCCTCTGGATTAGTGACAAGTACAGGAATTGAATCACTAAGAGGAACTCCCTTTTTGAATGCTTCTGGTGCGTACTTGACTAAAAGCTCTTTGTTTAATCTGTAAAAGAAATAGGTTGAGACAGGAGTTGGGTTAACAAGGAACCATTGCAAAACTTCTTCTTGCTGTTTCACATCAAATAAGGAGACAATTTCCATTGCTCTACTGTGTCCAATATTTTGTGAATTATGAGCAATTCCTTCTTTTAAGAATGTCCTACACCACTTTTTCCTTACTTCCATATCACAATAATTACTTAAGATTTGTGATCCCAATACAAATGCATAAATGTCTGGTTGTTTTCTTGCTAGTTCCAAAATCTTTTCCATATTTTCCTCATAGTTTTGATAGGTAAAAGGTGGTAATCCCCATGCCTGTAACACCTTTGATTGTATTGAATTATTCTCATCCCTAAATTGTAAAAATAAAGATGGTTTGGTATCGGCTATCATTTTTACTATTCTTGGATCTTCAGTCACCTTGGTTGAAAAGTTAACTATTGATTGAGGATTGATTGCAAAAAGTTTCTTTGCAAGAGGTCTGCAATCTTTCCAGAAGGCCGGCAAATAAGTGATGAGGCTTGGATTTTTCATCAATATCATTTCAACAATTTCCTTGTCTTGTAATAGTTCTTCTTGATTCAAAAATGCAGGGAAAGATGTCATATCTTCAATTTGATTGATTCCTTTGATTACCAATTTGCGGAAACCAGGGGTAGAGTAGGGAATATATTCCAAAGAGTAAGGTTTGGAAGAAACAGCAATTTCTAATAATTCTTGATGATTTCTCAGAAAATTAGAACTGAGATATTTGATAGCAAATCCATTTTGTTTTACAGCTTGAGTGACAACCTGCTTATCTTGCAAAAACTTGGTGCAATATTTTAACATTTTACCATGTGAGTTGACCAATCGAAGGCAAAAATCTCTATCTTCCAAGAAGGATTGAGGTATTTCCTTACCAATCTTGTAGTAAATTTTTGCAGCCTTTACAAGAAAATCTGGATCATTGAATTTTGGAGAGATTGCACTAATGGTCTTGGCAATTTGTTGAGGAGAAAGATCACGAGCTGTAAAATGTTTCAATAAACAAAGAGCTAATGGAGTGGATGTCACACCTGCAGGTAGTCGATTAAATATTTGTCTTCCACAAGCAATTTTACAATACTTTTGGAAACTATCTGCCTCAATTGTAAACATTGATGAAGGTGGATCGAATAGAGCATCCCATATATTAGTTTTTGTATTGTAATGGCCACTTGTACTAATAACAAGGTTATTATATTTCCCATTCGGAACTAGGACAATGTTATCACTAATACTAACAAGGTTATTCGTCTTTTCCCATAACTTGATTGGATATATCCAGTGTGCAGGATACGAATAATATGAATAGCTGGCAACATTCATATCTTCATCGAAATGTCTCGTCATCATCAGTAACTCTTTAATAATAAATGGAATTTTACAATTTAATTCAGTTTCAACTCTTTCAAATTCCTGTTGATATCGTTCTCTATATTCATCATCACAATCAATTAATTGAAATTTATCAATCAAATGTTCATTATAAATAGTCAAATACTCCCGAAACACTCTACGAAAATAATTTAAAAAGGTGGCAACAAGTTGTCGATTCGTCACTCTAAAATTGCTCGATTCTCTGAATGGAATAAAACTGAATAATAATTCTAAAATTTCCGATGGTAAATCAAGTAATTTATAAAGATGATTGGAGGTGGTGGAAATTGTTGTGATCATAGTTTGATCGTGTTGCATTTTTTTTGATCTTGAAAATTCAATTTTTTAGAGATGAACTTTTTGTAAATTTCAAAAATGCAATGGAACTTGGAAATTTGCTAAAAATCGTGTTTCTTGAATGTCAATTAGAAAATTGAAAAATCAAGAATAATTGAAAGTTTATTAGAGTTTTGTCTTTTTGTACATGGACTTGAGTGCCTTTTGTCTAAGATCTTCCATTTCTTCAACGGATCGTTTGTTTTCTCCTCTATCAACTTTGATTCGGTCAGTTTCGTAAATGGAGGCAAGATTTTTCTTTACTTCATCCTTTCTAAAGTTCTTTTCATAGGTTGCTAGATTGTGGACCTTAGCTCCTAAGGCAGTGGTACAATTTCTTGAAACCAAATTAGAAAGTTCAGCAATTTGTTTCAACAATTCACTTTCGTTTTCAATTTTTTTGTACTTTTTCAAATATTGTTCAAGAATGAAAACTTCAGATCTGCAATCATAACAATGATCCATTCCTTCAACTTGCACGTTGTGTGGATAATAGTGAACTCTTGTTCTGGTATTGAAATAAAACATTTGACTTTCGTATTTTGCAGTATCGTATGGAATAGTTCCACAATCTTTTGAACATACTAATCTTGTTTCGGTTGTTGTTTGAGGTCCCCATACTGGCAAGTAAATATCTCCCTTCAAATATTCATAGCTCTTCTCAGATTGTGTATCATAAGGTAGACGAAACTTGAGCATGGACATTTTTGGTTTAATTGTCAAATGCCAATTCATTTGTGCTTGATTATCCCACTTGACACACTTTTCAATCTCCTCACGGTGCTCTACTGTTTGATTTTCATTTCCCTTCTCTGGTTGAGCTGTTCTAATATCACTAATAAACAACACATTTTTATCAGCATACTTTGCAGCCAACTCATCAGTAAAGAAATCATTCACAATTGTAATCTTATCTGTTGGTTTACAAACAAATGGACTTGGATCTACAAGTACGAAACTCAAATCAGGAAATAAATCACTCAAAAAGTTTGTGTGGTGGCCAGGAGCAGCACCTGCATAAACAACAATTGCACCAGGATAACCAAATTCAGTTAAGAATTCAATTTCTGACATGAGTAATTTACGTTGACCCCAGTGAATGACACTCTTCAACTCTGACTTTCTTCTACGGTAAGTTTCTTGAGGATCGTGTGGTTGGAGTATACGATTGGTTCTATCGAATGGTTTCTCTTCAATGTGTGGATCATTGTAGTGCAATATTTGTTCACAATGTGGATTTGATTTCTTATCTGGCCATTCGTAATTTTCATATTGTTTCTTTCGGTAGGAGAGAACGAATTGATTGGGAGCTCTGTTGAATTGATGGTAGAATCGAACTCTTCCTTGCGGTTGTTGATAGGAAGATGTATAGGAATGTGGAGGAGAATATCTATCCTCATCCCTTTTTCTGAATCCTGCTTGTCTGATATAAGAAGAAGAAGAAGCAGAAGCATGATAATATTCTTGTCTACCATATGAAGGCCGTTCTTCTCTTTCTTGATAATGAACATGAGAAGAATGGAAAGGCCTTATGTTGCCAGCATTTCGTGCCTTAATTGGTTTTCTATCCTGATAAGGGGACGCAGAGGAACCAACACTGAAGCGTTCTTCTTCCTCATGATATTGGTGTTGGTAATTTCGTTGTTTATTATCTGAACGATAAGAAGAATTATCAACAACAAAATTATCCCTTCTGGAAGAAATGTATTGCCTATTGCTGGAGCTGCTAAAAGTTGAACGAGTTCCATCTGGTTGTTGAGGAGTATCACATTGTCGAGAACGTTGGAGGTTGTTGTTGTGATTATTGTTGGTTTGAGGGTGGCCACGATTGTTCATTTTTCGAAAGACGAAATCAATAAATATTTGATTGAGGCGCCACCTTACATGTTTTTTGTCTAAGGATGTTGAAAGATATTCAAGATGGTAAATAGTTGGGCATTATGATTATCGTGTTGATTTAAATTCTAATAATTTTGGATGATATTTTCGCACAGCTTTGTTTCGTAATATATTTTCATAATAATTTCACACTAATTTTCCTTCTATTGAAAAATGTTGATGAATTAACTACTACTTGGAAGATAATCCGTAATTCATGTTGAATAGTTCTTGTATTTCAGTCGAATCCAAGAAGGGTTCCAAATCTGTTTCCACTTCCGAGCCAGCTGAGAAACTATCCAAAAAGCTGTTTAAACTTTCTTCATATTCCTTCATTCGGTGTTGAACTAGATTTTCATCCTCCCTTTCTGTTGTTGGAGTCAGGTCATTAAGATTGGAGATGTATTGGAAAAACTCATTGGCAGATTCAATTTTTGATAAATCCACAGTTGGGGGAGAAAAGCTCTGATTGGTAATGCATTCATTGAGGGCGTTATAGAATTGTTTCCTCTCAATTATTGTTTCAATTTCCTTAATCATATTGTGGTGGAAGAGTTGAACACCCTTGTATCGTTTAGAGAGAATTTGAAGAGCTCTCAAATCTTTTGAAAGCACCTGATAGTAATCAATGGCACCTAGAGGAGAAGAAACGTCACAATTCTTGCGATCTCCCTTTTCAATGAGTTTAACAATTTGCAAATGGATTTTACAAGCAGCAGCAATTGGAGCAATCAAAAAGGAAGGAGAAAATGATAATTGGCCTGATTCAGTTGTGGTGGTTATTTTCAAAGCGCATTCTTCAATTTTATCCTTTCCTCTATTCATTTCAGTATAAATTCTAATCTTGAGTCCATTTCCAACAATTTCTGCAATATCATTAAGAGTTCCAGAAACCCTCTGATTCTTCATCATCATTCCTTTACAAATACTAATTACAGCATCCAACATTTGAATGAAAATCACATAGGTACTCTCTGTTAATTTCTGGTCCAAAATCATACTCCACTCCTTTGGGAACTTGACGCCAATATGTTTTTCAGCAATTTCATGCCAATCTTTTAGCATTCCCATAGCCGTATTCTCACTCTTGGCTTCACAGGTAAGAACTTGCTTGAATTTTTTCAAATTTATCTGATACTTTGTTGCTTTTAAATCGTCAATTGGGTTTTCATCTAAATAAAATTCAACAAATTTAAGGTAAAATCTAGCAGTTTTCAATTTTCCACATCCAATTTCATAACATGCCAAGTATGCATAGGCACTTGCTACATAAAAATTAGAGTGTTCATCGAAAATCTTGCTGAGAGCATCTCTGGCTTTACGTGCTGATTCATCTGCTGTTGGTGATGCAAGAGTTTCCTGCTCAATTTGTGCCTTAATAGCCATAAACATGGCCTTGACCTCTTTACAATTCGGTAATGAATCATCCTTACTCAATAAATAAGTTTCCAATTCCTTCGGATTAATAACCCAAATCTCAGACATCATTTCTTCATAAATATCCAAATATTTCCTCATCTCTGCAAACTCATTAATTGTCTGATAAAGATTTCCTCCAACTCCAACTCCAGCACTAATATTACTTCCATTACCACCAATAGAAGAATTTGTAATAATACTTCCTGAATTAATTGTCAAATTATTAATCGAAATTAAATTATTACAAGTTTCATTGAACGATGAATTTTCCATCTGGAATGTAATCTTTCCATCATTATTTGATTTCTTCTTCTTCCGAATCCTAGAGGCTCCCTTCTTTGCCTCTTCATAAACACATTCAACCTTCCTCCATTTACATCCACTACATGATGGCAATGCCCGATCGCAACATTTATGAAGACGTTTACAATTATTGCATGCTATTGGATGGAATTGTGGTTTTTCTTCATCTATTGTGCCTGGTGATGGTGAGGATAATGGTTGTTGCATTTTTTTGTTTGAGGTAATTGAAAGTCCGAAACAAATATGGAGAGGAATTTGTTTTCCTTCCTAAATATGAAACGGAAAGGTGTTTTTAAAAACTGCGCTCAATCAACAACCTTAATCATCATTCTATCTGAAATCTAACTAATTGTATCATCAAGGAAATTGAAAATTTTATGGAGAATTGAAAGAAATCCAACAGTTGTTGCGGTGTTATCCAGGGGGGACCAATGTTGATGTCCGCGTGTTACTGAAAATTAAATTAATAAAAATTATGGGTCAGAAAACGCCTTTGCTCCAGCCAATTTCAAAAAATATTCTTCTCCTTTCTTTTACGAAGATTTTAAATTACTTGGCTACTGTGGAATGGATCTGGCTTATTACTTTGTTACATTAAATGATCGCTTTCATTATGGTGCTATATATCATTTTCTATCTATAGGATGAATCTTGTCTTATTAGAATAAGTGCATTGGAAGTCTGAAAGTGGAGTTCCTAATTTATTGTTTTCCTCAGAGGAAAAATGTTGGCTTGTTTCCACTACCACTATTCGACGCCTTGTTATTCAACAAATATATGAAATAAAGATTCGATAGTTTAGTATAGAAAAGAATAACATCTATAGATGGTTTTCTGAAATCAAGGAAGATGGATACAGTACATATCTCAGATAATAAGCTTTGGATTGATTTTATTTTTTTAATAACGGCATGGTTGGAGAAATTGATAATAATTTTATTATATTATAGTGATTTGGCAATTATTTTATCCAATGAATCTTTCATCTCATTTCCATTCGAATCAACCATTAAAAAAGATTTTTTCAAATCCTTAATGAGCTTAAAATGATTTTTCACATTTCGAATAACAGATTCCTTGCCGAACACATGTTCTAATATTTCTTTCAAAGCAATAACATCAGCAGCAGCTGTATGCTGATTTTCAATTGATTTTCTAAATAACTGTTGATAAATGTTACCTAATTTACATTGATTTTTCTCTAATTTCAACGCTTTCTTCAAAATTGGAATTGTATCTAAGAAAATGATATGACTATTTTTCAAACCATCTATTGTCTTTGAATTATTCATTCTCCAGTAATTGAAAGCACGATGTAGAACACTTTTGTCGAATGGTGCATTATGAGCAAGAATTAAGGATTTCTTTGGTAAGAAATCAACAATTAATTTAACTGCTTCCATTTCCTTAGTTCCATTTTGCACCAATTCATTTGTGATTCCTGTTAATTTTTCAGCATCTCGTAAAATTTTCACTCTAGGAAGGATATATTTTGGAAATGATAAAAATCTATCTTTTGAAATATTATAAATATAACAATCAGTTGGAGCTCTTGTTTGAAGATCAGTTGTTTCAAAGTCCAAAATCAATACATCATATTCCTCAATAGATTCAATAAGACTACATTTGAATTGATGAGTAGTGCAGCCACCATTATTAAGACAACATTGTCTACATGATTTACAAGGTGCTTTTGTTGCTTTCCTTTTGTTACCACATTGGCACATTTCAATTCTAATTGAATTACACTTAGTTGATTTCTTTGGAGGAGGGTTTGTATTTGTATTTTGAGAGTTATTAGGTTGTGGTGTTTTTTGTGTATTACATTCAAACATTACTTCATCCTCTTCCTTTTCCATTTTGAATTTTTCTAATCTAATCTTCCTACATAATTCTTGCTGAAGAGCATTTGTTAAATAGCAAGAATTCACCATACAATCGGATATTACTTTAGCCTTATCAGTTGAGCAATCATGTTTGGTCTGTAAATGATTTGACAAACTCTTTCCAATCACATAATTTTTTTGACATAAAGGACAAACAATTGGATCGTTCTTGTTGCTGACTACATCAGTATCTTTCCGTAATGGAATTGAGTTTTGTTTCATATTAATGCTCTTAATTATTGTTTGCACATTGCCAATTACATCTTTTGGAACAACAATTTTTTTTACAAAATTATCTGGCAATGGAGGAATATCATATTCCAATATGAATCTTCCAATTGTAATGGTTGACTCTGCGTGAATTCCATAGCCTG